CTTTCCCCCGTTACCATTACTTTCCCCCGTTACCATTACTTTCCCCCGTTACCATTACTTTCCCCCGTTACCATTACTTTCCCCCGTTACCGTTACTTTCCCCCGTTACCATTACTTCCCCCCGCTACCATTACTTTCCCCCGTTACCATTACTTTCCCCCATTACCATTACTTTCCCCCGTTACCATAACTTTCCCCCATTACCATTACTTTCCCCCGTTACCATTACTTTCCCCTGTTACCATTACTTTCCCCCGTTACCATTACTTTCCCCCTTTACCATTGCTTTCCCCCATTACCATTACTTTCCCCCGTTACCATTACTTTCCCCCGTTACCATTACTTTCCCCCATTACCATTACTTTCCCCCATTACCATTACTTTCCCCCATTACCATTACTTTCCCCCATTACCATTACTTTCCCCCATTACCATTACTTTCCCCCATTACCATTACTTTCCCCCATTACCATTACTTTCCCCCATTACCATTACTTTCCCCCGTTACCATTACTTTCCCCCGTTACCATTACTTTCCCCGATACCATTACTTTCCCCCGTTTCCATTACTTTCCCCCGTTACCATTACTTTCCCCCTTTACCATTACTTTCCCCCATTACCATTACTTTCCCCCGTTACCATTACTTACCCCCCGTTACCATTACTTTCCCCCATTACCATTACTTTCCCCCATTACCATTACTTTCCCCCATTACCATTACTTTCCCCCATTACCATTACTTTCCCCCATTACCATTACTTTCCCCCATTACCATTACTTTCCCCCATTACCATTACTTTCCCCTGTTACCATTACTTTCCCCTGTTACCATTACTTTCCCCCGTTACCATTAATTTCCCCCGTTACCATTACTTTCCCCTGTTACCATTACTTACCCCCGTTACCATTACTTTCCCCCATTACCATTACTTTCCCCCATTACCATTACTTTCCCCCATTACCATTACTTTCCCCCGTTACCATTACTTTCCCCCATTACCTTTACTTTCCCCCATTACCATTACTTTCCCCCATTACCATTTCTTTCCCCCATTACCATTACTTTCCCCCGTTACCATTACTTTCCCCCGTTACCATTACTTTCCCCCGTTACCATTACTTTCCCCCGTTACCATTACTTTCCCCCGTTACCATTACTTTCCCCTGTTACCATTACTTTCCCCCTTTACCATTACTTTCCCCCATTACCATTACTTTCCCCCGTTACCATTACTTTCCCCCGTTACCATTACTTTCCCCCGTTACCATTACTTTCCCCCGTTACCATTACTTTCCCCCGTTACCATTACTTTCCCCCATTACCATTACTTTCCCATCTTACCTTTACTTTCCCCCGTTACCATTACTTTCCCCCATTACCATTACTTTCCCCCATTACCATTACTTTCCCCCGTTACCATTACTTTCCCCCGTTACCATTACTTTCCCCCGTTACCATTACTTTCCCCCGTTACCATTACTTTCCCCCATTACCTTTACTTTCCCATCTTACCTTTACTTTCCCCCGTTACCATTACTTTCCCCCATTACCATTACTTTCCCCCATTACCATTACTTTCCCCCATTACCATTACTTTCCCCCGTTACCATTACTTTCCCCCATTACCATTACTTTCCCCCATTACCATTACTTTCCCCCGTTACCATTACTTTCCCCCGTTACCATTACTTTCCCCCGTTACCATTACTTTCCCCCGTTACCATTACTTTCCCCCGCTACCATTACTTTCCCCCGTTACCATTACTTTCCCCCGTTACCATTACTTTCCCCCGTTACCATTACTTTCCCCCGTTACCATTACTTTCCCCCATTACCATTACTTTCCCCCATTACCATTACTTTCCCCCATTACCATTACTTTCCCCCATTACATTTTTCTTTCCCCCAAGGTGTGGTAGCTCCTGCGGGGCTCCCTCCCACCCCATTACTTTCCCCCAGGAGGTGGTTTTTTAGGCGCCTCAAAACCTCCTCAATCCTGCGGGGCTCCCTCCTACCCACCCCATTACTTTCCCCCAGGAGCTACCACACCATGGCAGCAGACCCCCATCGCTGCCAAATCTACATCTTTGGTGGCTGCGACCCTCACACCCATACTCTCAAACACCACTCCCCACTCCCTCACGACCATCCCTCTCTCCCTAGGAGCTACCACACCATGGGGGAAAGTAATGGGGTGGGAGGGAGCCCCGCAGACATCTGCTTTGGTTACCCCCCTCCCACTCCATTACCTTTAAGAGCTTCCACACCATGGCAGCGAACCCCCAGCGCGCCCAAATCTACATCTTTAGTGGCTGTGGCACCACTTTCACCCTCACACCCATACTCTCAAACACCACTCCCCACTCCCTCACAACCATCCCTTTCCTCCCCAGGAGCTACCACACCATGGCAGCTGATCCCCAGATCCACATCTTCGGTGTCTGTGGCACCACTCCCACCTTCTCACACACCCTCCCATCATCCACCGCCTCCCCCCCCCAGGAGCTACCACACCATGGCAGCTGACACTCATCGCTGCCAGATCTACATCTTCGGCGGCTGTGGTACCTCCATTCACTCCTTTACACCCATCCTCACAAGCACCACTCCCCGCTCCCTCCCACCCATCTGTTCCCCCCCAGGAGCTACCACACCATGGCAGCGGATCCCCATCGCGCCCAAATCTACATCTTCGGCGGCTGTGGCACCACCGGTCGTTTCAACGACCTTTGGGCCTACCCTGTCGCTCCCAGCCACACCAACACATGGCGGCAGCTGCCCTCCCCTCCCCCTTCCAGTGGCTGTGTGCCCCGGGGGGGCCCTGGGCTGGCTGTTGCAGGGGACGCAGTGTGGGTGCTGTTTGGGTTTTCCGGGGAGCATGAGCTTGGGGACGTGCATAGGTTTGATCTAGGGAAGGAGACGTGGGAGGAGGTGGAATTTCCTGCTGCTGCTGGTGCGGAGACGGCTGGTAGCGGGGAGGCTACTAAAGGGGATGAAGTTGAAGGGTCGGCGGTTAAGCCCATTCCAAGGAGTGTTTTCGGCGCTGTGACCGTCTCGCTCCCTGCTGTCAACGAGTCTGCTTGTAAAGAGTACATAGTGGTGTATGGGGGAGAGGTAGACCCATCAGATCTGGGTCACTTGGGGGCGGGAAAATTCTCTAAAGATCTCTTCCTATTGGACGTCGAGGAAAGGAAGTGGCTCCAACCGGCGTCGCTCGTCTCTTCTGGCGGGGACCCGGGCGCTCGTGGCTGGTTCCCTGTTGCTCCTTTGGCTGCTGGCATGGTGGTGTATGGAGGCAATTCGGAGAGCAACGACCGCTTGGATGACGTGTTTGTGCTCCGGCTGACCGTGGCTTGAAAGACTCGCTGTTATTCGTGGGGGGGAGGGCGGGTTGGTTGCTGAGGTGCTGCTGGTGCTGATAGGGGATATGCTGGCTTGGTGGTGTATGGGGTAAACTCAGAGAGCAATGACCACTTGGATGACGTGTTTGTGCTCCGGCTGACCATTTCTTGAGAGGGATTCTTTGTCCTTCTGGTGCCGCTGGTGCCGGTGCTGGTTCTGGTGCTGGTGGTGCTGGTGTTGCTAAGGGGGCTGCTGGCATGGTGGTGTAAGGGGGCAACTCAGAGAGCAACGACCGCTTGGATGATGTGTTCGTGCTCAGGCTGACTGTTGCTTGAGGGAAAATATGTCCTGCTGGTGCCGTTGGTGCCATTGGTTCCACTGGTGACCGTGATGGTGCTGCCAATGGAAACTTCTGGCATGGTGGTGTATGGGGGCAACTAAGAGGGCAACGACCGCTTGGATGACGTGTTTGTGCTCCGGCTGACCGTTACTTGAGAGGGATTCTGTGTCCTGCTGGTGCCGGTGCTGGTTCTGGTGCTGCTGGTGCTGGTGCTGGTGCTGGTGCTGCTGGTTTTGCTAAGGGGGCTGCTGGCATGGTGGTGTATGGGGACGACTCAGAGAGCAACGACCGCTTGGATGACATGTTTGTGCTCCACCCCACCATGATCTGAGGTACCCACTACTGCTGATCATGGTCATGATGACCATTTCCTCTCTGATACTGCTGCTCTGCTCGTCTGTACTGGTCATCTGAATGTCCAACTCAACATCTGTAGTGTAGTCTAGGCTGGAAATTTATTAGCTCAGCCCACCCCAACGTATGAAGTGAACGACTTTGAGTTATCGTGACTCAAACTTGTTTTATGCATACAGTGGAAACCGCATGCGTTATAATTAATATTTCACAATACACATACTTCTGTCGAATCACATGCAGCAGGTAGTGCATGAGGGCCCACACATGCGCCTCCCCCACATCACCCTTCGCAACCTGAGGTTGCCCCTTCCCTGGTCCAGCACGCGCAAGAGTGTGAGTAGTGATGGTCATGGGAGCCCCCTGCGGAGTTCCCAAAACTACAGAGTATGGACGACTTTTGATGCGCCTCAAAAGTGAACTACAGACGGAGCATGGAACAGCTAAGGGATTAGTTGGTTGGTTTGCCAGCGGCAGTGGTGATCGCTGGTTTGCTTGATTCCTCGCTCGACTCATCGCATCACATGCAGCAGGTAGTGCATCAGGGATCTTACATGCGCCTCCCCTACATCCCCCTTCACCACCAAAGGTTCCCCCTTCCCCGGGCCTGCATGCACAAGAGCAGAGTAGTGGTGATCGAAGGGGCGACCTGTGTCCGTGTAACGAGGGCCGTCCACCATCCATAGATCCAAGATCGACGGCCGAGATGCTGCTACAGCACGCTTTGCTGATGGTGCTGCTGCTGCTGCTGCTGCTGCTGCTGGTGATGACAATGATGCTGGTAACTCTGATGCTGTTGCTGATGCTGGTAACCCTCCTCCTTCCCCTCCAGGCTCCTCCCCTAGCTCCTCTGGTAGTCGCTGTAAGGAGCAGTCTAGGTCTGCTTTACATGCCTCAGCTTCCTGCCCTTCTCTCTCCCCTTGTTGCTCATTTCCGTCCATACCCCTTACAAGGTGCTTCATTAAAGCGTTAATCGCCATGCCGGCTCGGTTCGAACTCGGCCCGGGATGCCAACTGTTACACCAATCCCCCTTAAGGGGAAAAGACGGGATAGTGCGGAAAACCACCCTGCCTTTTCCGGGAGTAGCTGTGGAAACAGCCCACCGGAGGAATTTTTGCAGGTGGGTGCGCAGGGCTTTAAGAGGTTCTCGGCAAAAGACGGCCGCCCAATAACCAGCTTCGAAGAGTGTGACATCAGCGGTGGGTGAAATGGTCGGGAACGGTCCTGTGCGGTTGAGAGCGCGTGGGTGGCTGGTGGAAAGGGGGGAGTAGAGGGGAGGAAGGGAAGGGAAGAGGAGGGAGTTCAAGGTGGTTGAGAAGAGGAATCAAAGCTCGACCTTTTCCTAACTTTCTTTTCACTCTCTTTACAGGAAGAGGAGAGAGTGTATGAAGCTCCTAAGGATCAAAGCTTAGCTTTTAAGAGGCGTCAAAATGATAAAATCTCGATAGAACAAAGACGGGTTTTTTTCTCTCACAAGCAGCCATGCTCTCGCTTTGTCCATCCCATCCCATCCTCTCATCTTTCATCCACACTAACCTTCAATAAACCACACTAGTCCATGGAAACTCATCCATCCATCACCAGTCATGCAGTCGTGCAAATGAAAGAAATCGAGCAATGCACTCTCTCACCTGCGGCCATACTCCCAGTCCTCGTAGACTCCTGCAATCCAGCGACTAGTTTCCAAGCCTTGTGGTTAGGGAATCCCAAGGCTGTCTCTCACCTGCGGCCATACTCCCAGTCCTCGTAGATTCGTGGAACACCCACTGTTGAGTTCTATCAAAAAGAAATCCCAAGGCTCTCTCACCTGCAACCATACTCCCAGTCCTCGTAGACTCCAGCAATCCAGTAAAAGTTGATCTTCAGAGTTCTATTAATCTCATCTCTTGCGATGTACACCCGACTCTCGTTAACAGTACGCCCTTTCTCCATCTCAGTCATGTCTTGCCCCGTGAGCAGGAAAAACAGGTGGGCTGTCAGGAACCGTTGATGCGAATCGCCGACAATCGAGATCTCCCGGATGCCGCGGCGATCGAGGGCTGAGATCCACTGAGAGGGCGGGAGCTCCTTAGGCGAGCAGGGGAAGAATGACCAACTGAAAAGGGGAGACGGGTAACGGGGGAGGGGGGAAAGGAACGGAGGAGGGGGAGAGTGGGAAGGAGTTCTGATTCGACTCAAAATAGATGCACTGAGAGGGCGGGAGCTCCTTAGGCGAGCAGGGGAAGAACGACCATCTGGGGATGGGAAGGGGCGAAGAAGGGAGAGGGTGGTAGTGAGAAGTATGTTTTTTGAGAATTCTCAAAAAACATGGGTGGTAGTGAAAAGTAGGGATGGAAGGGGGGGTTCTGATCTGAAAGTGGGGGACTGAAAGGGAGGGAAGGGGACAAGGAAGCAGAAAAAGGCAGAAAAAAACAGAAAAAAACAGAAAAAAGCAGAATAAACTGAAACAATTTTCTTTTTAGGAAGAAATCATAACTAGTAATTTTGAGTCTCACCTGTAACCCTCTCCTCCCTCCTCCTTCACCCATCTTCCTGGCACCGACGCAGCAGCACAGGGGCTCTCAGGAAGCTTCCTCCCCACTTCCAAGGCCCGGGGCAAGCCGCCCTCTGCAGGTGGCGACTCCAACAGCGAGGTTCGGAGAGGCGAGCTGCCGAGCGTGGGGCCCAGGTTTGGAGCACCAGAGGCTTGGTGCGGAGGTTCGGCAGGTAGGCTCGGGCCGCCAGCTAGGTCAGGCTTGGCAGCTAGGCTCGGGGAGTTAGGTCGGAAGCGAGGGTGGATTGTTATTGGCCAGGAAGTGAGGGTGTTTTGCTGCGTGGAGTGCAGATGGTGCAAGGAAGCTGCTGAGAAGTTGAGATTGGCACAACCGACGTTCAGAGTTGCCCTGAGGAGAGACCAGTAGAGAGCAAAGCAAGAGAGAGGGAGGGAGTGAGGTTGAGTTCGGTTCAAAAGAAAGTAGGCGAGTTATGCCTTGCGGTGTGTGGAGTGGAGTGCACGTGGTGTAAGGAAGCTGCTGAGAGTTTGTGTCAGTGCACGTCCCCATGGGCGAGCGCTGGGCCACGGAGGAGCAGCAGAGAGAGGTCCCGCTGCCACCACGTGTGCTTGCTGCTGCTGCTGATTTCCTCCCATGCTTTCCATCACTCACCAATACTCCCCGATGTCCCACACGCGGTATGCAACTGATAGTTCCAAGCAGTGCGGGGGGTCGAGGCACCGCACGTCCCCGTGGGCGAGCGCTGGGCCGCGGAGGAGCAGAGAGAGATCCCGCTGCCACCACGTGTGCTTGCTGCCCTTGTCTGCTTGCTCCGGCGCTATCCAGTGCGCGGGCGCGCGGATGGAGACGAGGAAGGAGCAGCGCTGCCCGCGCAGGCAGGCAGAGCAGCCTGGGCCGTGAATCACCACACCTGATGGAGCCTCGTAGTCTGCTTGTGGAGGGGTTTGGGGGGAAACAGGAGGAGCAGAGAACTTTCCCTCTCCCATCACGTGTGCTTGCTGCTCTTCTCTGTTTGCTCTGGCGCGATCCAGTGCGCGGGTGGGCGGATGGAGACGAGGAAGGAGCAGCGCTGCCCCCTCAAGCACTCAGAGCAGCCACGACCGTGAATAATCACCGCTGATGGTGTCTCGTAGTCTGTGCTTAAGGGGGGGTTTGGAGGGAGGGATAAGGGAGAGGGAGGGAAGGCATCCAGTGGGCGGGTGGGCGGATTGATGGAGACGAGGAAGGAGCAGCGCTGCCCGCGCAGGCAGGCAGAGCAGTCACGACCGTGAATCACCACGCCTGATGGCGTCTCGTAGTCTGTGATTGGTGGAGGGGTGGAGGGGTAAGGGAGAGGGAGGGAAGAGAGTTACCACTCCTGGTAAAGCATGTTAGTCTTTGTGGGTGGGGGATAGGAGCGGAGGGGAGGGAGAAAGGGGTGGATGCGGGTGGTGTGGAAAAAGGGGGGATAGAGAGAGGGGGTGTTTATGATACTCTTTCACAAGCAGCCCGTGCAGCTTGGCTAAGTATCAAGATAGTTTAGGCTCACTACAGTGAGAAATGCCTAAGCATGCCATTGTCACTACAGCCAAAGCATGCCATTGTCACTACAGCCAAAGCATGCCATCGTCACTATAGCCAAAGCATGTCATCGTCACTACAGCCAAAGCATGCCATCGTCACTACAGCCAAAGCATGCCATCGTCACTACAGCCAAAGCATGTCATCGTCACTACAGCCAAAGCATGCCATCGTCACTACAGCCAAAGCATGCCATCGTCACTACAGCCAAAGCATGCCATCGTCACTACAGCCAAAGCATGCCACTGTCACTACAGCCAAAGCATGCCATCGTCACCACAGCCAAAGCATGCCATCCGCCAACAAGCACCCACCTCCAGATGACGTCCAGCACACGTGCTCCTCTGTTTTGCCACCTGAAAAACCACCTGAACTACCTGAAGCACCTGAATCTCCTGGCCTGCATGGCCATAGGGAGGAGAGGGGGAGCATAAAGGGCACAATGGGAAATTAAGGAAAATGCACGCATTAAGACGCAGGGATAACCTAGGTTTACCCTCACTTTACCCTGTTTTGAGTCGACTCAAAACACGACTCAATTTACCCTCAATTTCCTCTCAACGCGGTACTAACACCGCAACTTCGCGAGCCCGCCAGCCCCCCTTCCCCCGACCATCCCCTCCACACGCTTACCGCAAGCGCGCGCCGCTATCGATTCCCAAGAGCGGGAGCGCCTGCCGCAATCCCCGCATCCGCGCAAGTTTCCCCGGATCCTCCGCGGACGCGGCTTGGGGGAGTCCGCGCGCTTCGTCCCCTCCCCAGGGACGCGCACAATACGGTGAGACTTCGCTAATAACGAGGATGACGAGGCACGCGTTAATCGCAATGAGACTAAAACGAGTCAAGTCGGAGCTGAACCAATCAGGTGCGCCGCTGCCAGAAAATCGTTCGTTATAAGAATCGTTTCGTTTAAGACCAAGTATGGCCCATCCGTGCGACAAGAGCGACCCGAGGCTGGAGACGTGCGACGGTGGCGACGACCCGTACGACGAGAGAGTGTCGCGCGACGAGGACGATTTCATCTCTTCTAGTAGGCGATTCGAATCGAGTCGCAGGGGAACAGAATCTTTCACAATCCGATGCGGAATAAAGGGGGGAGGCTGATTGGTTGATTTTAATGGAATTACGGCGACTGAGAAACAAGCTACTTCGGCGAAGTTTCCTCGTCTGACACGACACGAGGTGGTGAGAGCTGGCGAAAGCTAGTACATTGCGCGGCTCACGCTCGCCCTCGGGTAATGTCACGTGGCTTCGGTGCGAGGGGTTAGATCGGTTACTAGCAGCACGCAGTGGGCTACGAGACGCGACTCGACGGGTCTGGTTCGGGTCTGGTTCGGATCTGGTTCTCTGCAGGGTGGTATGGTGAGGAGTGAGACGATCCACGGAACAAAACGAATTACCGTCCAAGCACTCGCAACAATAGTAGCACCGGCGGCGCTAAATGGCGGAGGCTGAGGCTGAACTTTGAAACATCAAGACGTTGTCGTTAGTTGCTTCAAGCTGCCTCGCCTCGCCACCACGCCACTGTTTGAGCATAAGGTACTAAAAATTAGTAGCAGTAGGAATACCGTATAGGCCCTGGTAATTCGGTAATCCGCAGAGGTGGAGGGAGTTGGGGTTGGATAGGAGGGTGTTTGTGGTGCGGGCGGGGAATGGGTGGGAGAGGTTTGGGCACGACAACCGACATTCGTCTTCGAGAAACTAGCATAAACTTGAAAAAAGCACCTCAGACCACTCTGCACCGTACTAAAGGCAATGTTACGGCCCGACTAGCGAAATCGACGGCGACGGCTGTTCTTGGTGTGGGAGAATTGCATGTGTCGTTTTGCTCCTGGCGTCTCGCCTCACCAATCGCAAGTTCGCAACACGCTCTTAGGCGCCTCGCAACACGGCGGCGGCGCGTTCCTGCAGAATTACCGTCATAACGAGACACCTAGCCCGCGCCAATTTCCCACCCCGTCACTTTTGGGCTAAAACCCATTTGTACCTTTTTTTTGGCTGTGGGGATCAGACACCCAAGGAACTAGAGGCTATCCGTGGCATTGTAAAGTGTCGATGTTGTGAAAGTGTGACTTTGTGACCGCAACGCGTAGACTGGATCTTCCGCTGCGACCATGTTCCTATTTTCCCGCTGACTCTTAATCGGAGATATTGTAAGTCTCTTAAGGCCAGGCTGTTTGAAACAACCCTCAATTTACGGAAAAATCAGGAACGAATACACAGGGGTGTGAAATTGGAGGGTGTGAAAATACCGCGGACCATAAAAGCCAGCAAAGCGTTTGGTTGTTGTGATGGGAGCTCCCCGTCTCTACAGTGTTTCCTGCCTAGCATTAGCGGGGCGGGGAAATCCGGTCCGCATTCCGGAATCGGGGGAAACCGCAAGTGAAATCGATTGGTGGGTGTTGCAAATACACCTGGGCTCCACTAATTTCAAGGCCCGAAATTGGGCGCTCGCAGGTAGCTACCCCTATTATGTCTGGGAATAAGGGTTGTACAGAGTGAAACATAGTTTGAAGTGGGTAAGGTTACGGACTCCTTGTGAGGGCGATGACGCAACGAAGGTCGCAACTAGAAATATTTCCCGTCAAAGTGGGAGGTAGGCCTGATCCACTGAGGGATTTATTGTTTGAAATAACCATTAAGGAGAGCGTCCTTAATATCGTTTTGATTCTGGGTGTCTGAAAGATACGGCCGAATCTGGTCTAGGGTGTCTCTGAAAATGTTTTCCAGGGCTTGAAATTAGTGGAGCCCAGGTGTACAGACCCTCTGGACCACCCCCACACAAACGTGCCGACAGCATTCATCCACCAACCATGACTGGACTGGCTGCAAATCGGGCCGCCATTACCGCGCAGAGTACTCAGGACATGTCTCGGTTCGCCTCGGGTTGCCTCGATCAGACACGAGCAATAACTTCCAGGAAGGTAAGGAGGCGATTTCATGCAATCAGAGGCAATCACTTGATCGCGATCAGCTTATCGCCCCAACTAGATCAACCGCGAAAACAGCCCAATCAAACACAATCACACACAATCACACACAATCACCGACGATCACTTGATTGCATTTGATTGGGGTTCCACGCGACGCTGGCGAACAGTTACACTGTTTCTGGGTTGGCTCTATTTGCGACACAGGGAAACACTGAAATTCGCATGTTCCATGCCGAGGGTTTCGCAGTCGCCAAAGTGGGCCCGAAAGTGGCAAGAAATGTTTGTACGCCTGCTATGTAAACTCGTGGAGTGTTCGAGGAGAATAGTCTCTGATCGGGCGGCGCGAGCTGTCCAAACAAAGGCAACCCGATCAGATCAGCCCCGACCAGATCACAGCCGACCGGAGGCGAACCGAGACACGTCCTCAAACGTCACATAGGATATTCTAACAGCTCAGAATGCAGGTACATCGATAACCCAAGGATTAGCAGTCTAAGAGAAAAGTTACATGCAATTCCTCCTTTCATTTGCTCATTCATCAGTTGCATGTCAAATGCTATCTGTTCCTAGCTTGCTGGCACAATTCCTAATAAGCAGCAGAGCATTTCCACCATGCGCACTCATGCACTAAGCCCTCAATGTCCTCTCCAACCAGTACTGCCACAGAAGAATCCCACATTTTCTGCACCAGTTTATCTCCTTCCCAGAAATTTGCCCTAGCCAAACAATCCGCTGCCTAACTTCATGTCACCATTCCCACAGCCCTTCACGTGGCCTCATTAGCATACTGACGCATGCTTCTCCTCTTTCCTCCAGCCGAACAACCCTGGCACTCCGTTGCAGGTGCTTTTTTTTTTTTTTCTGAATTCTCCAAAAACACCTGCAACAAAATGCCTTCACCTGGCTTCATTCCCATGCTGGCGCATGCTTCTCTCCTCTCTCTTCTTCAGCCGTGCAGCCCTGGCAGTCCTGGCCCTCTCCTTGGCCTCTCGAATCTTCTGCTTCCGCAGCTGTCGGTACGCGCGCTCAAACTTGGAGTCAAACTCGCGCATCGACCCGCGCCGCGCCCACCATGGGGCCTCATCTGGGGGAGGCGTATCTGCAGGCGTGGAGCACTGCCGCCCGGTGATGTCAAAGTCGTCCGGGCAGAGGCTGCTGCCAGGCCCACCCTGTGGGGGGGGGAGCAAAGGGCAGGAGAGCAGGATTTTGAGTCGACTAAAACTCTGCCGGCGTGGAGCACTGCCGCACGGTAATGTCAAAGTCGTCCGGGCAGAGACTGCTGCCAGGCCCACCCATGCACACTCTCTCAACCCATGCACACTCTCTCAACCCATGCACACTCTCTCAACCCATGCACACTCTCTCAACCCATGCACACTCTCTCAACCCATGCACACTCTCTCAACCCATGCACTCTCTCAAACCCATGCACACTCTCTCAACCCATGCACACTCTCTCAACCCATGCACACTCTCTCAACCCATGCACACTCTCTCAACCCATGCACACTCTCTCAATCCCATGCACACTCTCTCAATCCCATGCACACTCTCAACCCATGCACACTCTCTCAACCCATGCACACTCTCTCAACGCATGCACACTCTCTCAACCCATGCACACTCTCTCAACCAATGCACTCTCTCAACCCATGCACATTCTCTCAACCCATGAACTTCCTTCTCTCGTCGGCCTCGTTCCTACCTGGCATGCGTTGCCCCACTTCCCGTCGCATCGGAAGAAGCACGTGTAGTTTCCGGGCAGGTGGCAGAACCCGGGCAGCGCGACGGGCAGCGGGTTGTGGCGGCCGCAGGCGCAGGAGCTGCCAGCAGAGCAGGAGTCGCAGCGAATGCGCGTCTCAGCCTCACAGCCAATCACACACGGCTGCCCCAGCCCCACCAGGTTCAGGCGAGCAAGGGTCTGCAGGGGAGGGGAGGTGGGGTGGGCGGGCAGGAAGTGTGAGTGAGGGGGTTGTGGCGGCCGCAGGCGCAGGAGCTGCCAGCAGAGCACGAGTCGCAGCGAATTCGTGTCTCAGCCTCACAGCCAATCATACACGGCTGGCCCAGCCCCACCAGGTTCAGGCGAGCAAGGGTCTGCAGTGGAGGGGTTGAGGGGGCGCGCGACAAAAGAGAGGATAGTGGGTGAAGTTAGACGAGAGTGAGGGGGTGGAATGGGGTGAGGGGGCCGAGTGGGTGAGTGGAGCGAGTGGGGTGAGTGAGCGAGGGGGGTGAGGAAAGGGGGAATGGGGGATGGGAGCAAGTAGGGTGAGGGGGGCGAGTTGGGTGAAGGGGGGCGAGTTGGGTGAAGGGGGGCGAGTTGGGTGAAGGGGGCGAGTGGGGTGAAGGGGGCGAGTGGGGTGAAGGGGGCGAGTGGGATGAGATGGAAAGAGGGGGTGAAGGGGGCGAGTGGGAGGGAAAGGTTTGAAGGTGTCATTCTAGCAACCTATCCCACATGGGTGCCCCAGGCCCGAACCACCACTCAATCGGCCTTTATTGTTCCCATCCTTCCCTATACATACGCGTCTTTCCTCTACCCATCCACTGCCTGCTGCAGCATTAGTTCCCGCCTCCCCCTCACCTCGACTACCTGCAGCCCTGCTGGGTGCTGGTACAGCCATCACTCACTAGTGCCCTTTGTCCCTTGATCCTAAATGGTTCCGTATAACGGGACGCCATGTACTTCCACCCAGTGCCTGTTTTGATGCTCTTTTCCTCTCTCACCTCGACTAGCTGCAGGTCGGCTGGCTGCTGGTACACCACATCCGCGTCAGAGTCCGTCTCTCTATAGTAAAGCTCTGGCACTCCGTATCCTGGTCGCCAGTGCACCCCAAACACGTCCAAAGAAGCGCATTTCTGGGTTGTGGTGTGGGACGGATGGGGGAAGAGGGAGAGAGCGGAGGTGACATTCGGTATAGAGAAGTTGCTGACGGCTCTGGCACTCCGTATCCTGGCCGCCAGTGCACTCCAAACACGTCCAAAGAAGCGCATTTCTGGGGTTGTGGGGAAGGAAGCGAGAGAAAGGGGGGGTTTAGGAGGAGGTGGAGGTGGAAGGGTTTGCTGTGGTGGAGTAGGATAGACAGGAGTTCAGTAGTGTGTGATTTTTAGGGAAGTCTTAAGGTATCCCGTAACTTGAAGATTGACGGAACCAGAGGTTGTAGGGAGGGACACGGGCAACAAGGGATGCAGCTTGCAAATGGTATGGCCAGGGCAAAAAGGGGAGGGGCACGAGCAAGAACGGGAAAAAGGCAGACCGACAACATGGGCAAAGAAGCAGCAGGGGGGCTGACCTAGAGTGCGAGGAAGAGCGTCATAGCGAGGTGGAGGAGAGAGGGGGGGGGGGGGGGGGGGGGGGGGGGGGGGTGAAGTGGTGAGAACATGGGAATGAAAAGAGGTGCGAAGAAAACAACAGGGGGGCTGACCTGGAGTGCGAGGAAGAGCGTCATGGCGAGGGGGGAGGAAAATGAGAAAGAGGAGAAGAGGGCAGGCAAACACGAGGGGGAAAAGAGGAGCAAAGAAGCAGCAGGGGGGCTGACCTGGAGTGCGAGGAAGAGCGTCATAGCGAGGGGGGAGGGCATGGGACCGATGTTGTCAGTGACGTGTGTGGCGAATTCGGGGTCAAACAAGAACGACTTGGCGTCCGGTTGCTCATTCAGGAACTGATGCGTTGGGGGGATGGGAAGGGAGAAGGGCGGAATATGACATGTGTGTTGTCAGTGACGTGTGTGGCGAATTCGGGGTCGAACAGGAACGACTTGGCGTCCGGTTGCTCGTTCAGGAACTGATGGCGGGGGGGAGGAGAGGGGGGAGGAAGGACGAGTAAGGCGAGGAACCAGATTCTTACATGCCCGAGAAGCAAAAGGAAAACCATAAGATACTCATACTCGGTGGCATAGAGGCAAACACACAGTCGAATGCAGATCCATTCACAAAGGAACAGTCTCGGCTCGGGTTGTACGGCATACCTGCACCCGTTAGCGCCTAAGCTGGCCTGGAATAACAGAAAACCTGGAAATGCCCGTAGTAGCCCTTTTTGGGGGCGGCGTTCATGGGGGTGATTTCGCCTCCCTCGCTGCACCCAACGGAGTTCGGATGACTTTGGAGTCAACTCATAAGCGAGCTCACAGCGTAGCATACCTGGAAATGCCCATAGAAGCCCTTCTTAGAGGCGACGTTCATGAGGGTGATTTCGCCTCCCTCGCTGAACCCGATGGTGTCCTCATCCACCACTCGCATGGTGGCCCTCTTCCCCACAAACGCTGTAAAGTCTACTGCCACTGCTGCTGCGCCCTCCCCACTGCGCGCCACAGTGGGGCCACTGATGGGTGGAAAAAAGGGGGAAGGCGGAGGAGGAAGAAGGAGGGAGGAGCGCAAGAGAAGAAGGGTGGAGAAAGGAGGGAGGGGAAAAGAGGGAGGGGGAAGGACGGAGGAGGGAGGAGGGAGAGGGGGGGAATGAGGAGAGATTGACCAGGGCACTGCTGCGTTCTCATCCACGACTCGCATGGTGGCCCTTCGCCCCACGAACGCCGTGAAATCCACTGCCACTGCTGCTGATGCACCTTCTCCACAGTAGGGCCGCTGAAGAGAGGGAGAGGAGGTAAAGAGGGTGGAGGGGGGCGGAGGAGGGGGAGGAGTGAGAGGGAGGAGGAAGGAGAGAGGGAGAAGGAGGGAACGAGGAGAGATCAATCAGACCATTGCTTTCCGTCTCATCTCATCCGCAACATTGAGGCATTCAGTGCAGACCTTCGACCCCATACATGCAATGGATCCACCACATCACTGCTGCTGCCACGCCCCTTTCCCTGGAAAAGGGCATATTGCACTCATCTAAAGGTTTGTCTACTCGCTCAAAGCATCGTGGCTGTCAAGCCAGTCAGGTATTTATTTCCTCAGTACTCTCACTCCTGTCGATCAGTTGTCCGTCCTGGAAGAGCAGGTCAAAGCCCGGTTGCCTTTCGCGCGACTCAAAGTTTCAACTCATTCCACAAGTCACCGTGAAAGTACTTCTACTCAGTGCAGGTTCTTTCCACTCCGCTCACTCAAATAGTCGGAACACAGCGTCATGGCTGTCGATGAGCTGCCCGTCCCGGAAGAGCAGGTTAAAGCCCGAGTTGCCCACGATGGCACACGAGTTGAACAGGGCGTTCTGCAGCAGGTCGCTGCCTGGCAGATGCTCCAACAGCGCCTGCGAGACCATGGGCTCCAGCTCCATCAGCTTGCCCTGTTGTGGAGACAGGATAGAAAGGAGACGGGAAAGGCAAAGGAGAGAAGATGAAATACAGGCTGAGTCACATCAGTCTGCCTGGCAGGTGCTCCAACAGCACCTGGGAGACCATGGGCTCCAGCTCCATCAGCTTGCCCTGTTGTGGAGGGAGGGAGATATGGGAGGGAAACAATACACAAGGAATGAGATGAGGGTACGGGATGGGGGTTCACAGAGCATGGGGAGTTTGAGTTGAACAGGGCGTTCTGCAGCAGGTCGCTGCCTGGCAGATGCTCCAACAGCGCCTGCGAGACCATGGGCTCCAGCTCCATCAGCTTTCCCTGTTGTGGAGAGAGAGGGACAACAGATGAGGGAAGACAACAACACCTAAGGACGAGCAGTAGAGGGCCGCAGGCCGCTGCCTGGGAGATGCTTCAGCAGTGCCTGAGACACCATGGGCACCAGCTCCATCAGCTTGCCCTGTTGTGGAGGGAGAGGGACAACAGATGAGGGAAGACAACACCTAAGGACGAGCAGTAGAGGGCCGCAGGCCGCTGCCTGGGAGATGCTTCAGCAGTGCCTGAGACACCATGGGCACCACCTCGATCAGCTTGCCCTGTGGGAGGGAGAGTGAGACGGGAGGGCAACAATACGCGAGGGTTTGTGAATGAGTGAAGTTAAGTGTAGCACGAGGAGTTGAGTAAGGGAGAGCGTTTTGCAGCAGGTCGCTGCCTGGCAGATGCTCCAGCAGCGCTTGAGACACCATTGCCCCCAGCTCCATCAGGTGCATTCTAACCTTTTCAGCATTGAAAAGCTCTTAAGAAATGCCACGTCCTCGTGTTTTTGAGTCGTGTCAAAACGTTGGCCCCAGCTCCATCAGGTTAATTCTAGCCTTTTCAGCATTGAAAAACCCTTAAGAAACGCAAACGTCCTTGCGGCCCCTCCCCACGATGTGTTGTGGCACTCATCCAGCACAACCCTCTCACCTTCTGTAAGTTGGCCCACACCACACCACGCCACACCACACCACACCACGCCACACCACACCACACCACACCACACCACACCACACCACACCACACGGTTGACCTTCCCCGCAGTGAAAAACGGCAAACTGAAAGCGTGTGGTGGGGGCTGGCTGGCTAGCACACGGACAGACAGTCCCCTCACCTTTTGCAGATTGCCCCACACAACGCGGTTGACCTTCCCCGCAGTGAAAAACGGCGCCTCGAAAAACGCGGCGCCCTCACCCTCCTTCTCCTTCTCCTCCTCCGCGCCTCCCTCCGTGCCAGCAGCTGCGGCGTTGGTAGCAGCGTAGGAGCCCGGGGAGGGCGTGAGAGGGTACTTGACCCCGTGTGCCTTGCGCACGTGCCTCACGCTCAGCACAAAGCGGCCGTCGTAGGTCGACTTCTTGCGCACAAAGGGACGCCGTGCAGAGCGGCAGAAGTCACCTTGGTAGCTGTGGGAGAGGAAGGGGGGAGGGTAAACAGAAGGTGTTGGGGTGGAGGGGAAGGGAAGGGGAGGGGAGGGGGGTGGAGAGGGGGAGAGGGAGGGGGAGGTGGGAGATGGGAACTCTGGTTACGAGGCAGCCATAGATGATTCTATGGCAACAAGATTCTTCAAGATAAGGAGACCTGGGCAGGACAGAGGTGATTCACTCACGGGAGGGTGCACCGGCATTTGCCGTTGATGCAGATGCCATGCGGCAGACAATCCCTCTCCCCAGACGTGGCCTGGCAACTACCATCCGTGATCCCCAGCCGTCCATCCACGCCCATGAACCCTGATAGAGGCACGCGCTCTACAGTCACACCCACGGCCAGCGCGCTCAGCTCCGCCATGGTCTTGTTCTTCAGGGGGTTGTCGTCTGCTGCGGCGGCTGCTGTGCTGCCCGAGCTGCCCCCTCCGCGGGGTTTTAGAGCTGCTGCGGCCGCTGCTGCTGCCATGTCACCTGTGGCTCTTGCGCTGCCTGGGGGGGCTGTTGCTACAATCGCCTCAGCCTGTAAGTGCGTCAAGGGAAGGGGGAAATGAGGGAACATGGGTAAGAACGAGCGAGCCACAAGACGGAAGGGTTTTAGATCTGCTGCTGGCGCTGCTGCTGCCATATGTCGCCTGTGGCTCTTGCGCTGCCTGGAGGGGTTGTGGCTACAATCGCCTCAGCCTGAGGTTGTCAAGGGAAGGCGTGAGCGGGAGGGGAGGGAAGGAGAATGATGGGAGATGGGTAGGAACGAGAAAGTACATGACAGACGGGTTTGTGAGACTGCAAGGAAGAAGTACACAGCAAGCTGTAGGTCCGTTCAGGGAAATCGATTTTTGAGGCGCCTCAAAAAAGGAAGTACATGACAGACGGAATTGTGAGACTGCAAGGAAGAAGTACACAGCAAGCTGTAGGTCCGTTCAGGGAAATCGTCAAGCATTCATTCACTCCATATCTCGTAGCCAGGGCATTCATTGGGTGAGACGCAACAGGATGAACGCTGTCAGATAATCAATAGAGCACAATCGTCATTGCCTGTCTTGGTTCTAAAGCTCACCTCACGCATTGCCTGTCATCGTTTCAACCGTCATTTCACGATCTTCATTTCCTGAGCACCTAAAACGCTTACCTGACTTGCGCACTGACACAAAATGTTCGGCAACAAGCTCCACCCGCTCCCTCCTTCACACGCGGCGGATCGGCGGATTCGACTCAAAGGCCAACTGAGCTCACCTCGTGGTCGTCGTCGCCCGACTCCTTGAGGTCTTCAGTGACCTTCTGCCGTTCCTCGAAGCTGAGCACCTTCCCCACCGCCTCCAGCATGCCTTGACCGAGTAAGCTCCACCCGCTACCTCCTTCTGTACACGTGGCAGATCGGTGGACAAGATGAAATTGGACAAAAATGAAGGGAGGAAGACACGAGGAAAGTAAGGATCAGAACAAAATCCTTTGAGATGTGCGATCTGCTCGCGTACGTAAGCTTGAAACCCTAATCAACCTGCACGGTTTCTGCTGGGCGATCATGTACCCACGCTTCCTAGGCAGCAGCAGGTCACATACGCCAGATGAGGAAAAGTTTTGAAGTCTACTGGAAGTGAGCATCCCGTATACTCTCGGTCGCGGGATCATTTGCTCGCAGAATCTCCGCTGTATTAGATGCGAGCATGCTAATGAGCGAGACTGTTGTGTAGAGTGGAACCGTACACGAACAGATCGGAACATCCACATGCGCAGCTCGTTGCTTGATCGTTTCAACAGTTTTGACGATTTCGCAGTATTTCTGTCAGTCCGCAGCGAAACATCGACAATGTGTGACTCGAAGCCGAGTTTCGATCTGTTTTCCAGCGCGAAATTAAGCGCGCTTGAGCGAGCAACTTTACGTGAGCAGTCTGATACATAATTTCCTTAAAGAAAACTGCTTCTTTTCACTCGTAAGAGCTTCCGGAAACGGAAATAAGGCCAGAATGAAGTTTTACTACGCACCTGATGCCGCTTGACCGATAACGCTGCCAGGACACAGGACAATAACACAGCACGGAAAAAAGAAAGGGAACAGGAAAGTCAGAGCAAATAAAGGGAACGAGATCAAAAGAGGAAAGAAACGAAGGTATTGAGAATTTATAGCATTTTGAAAAGCATTGTGGAATCTACAAGATGGGTTTACGCCATTCCTTTTGCTGTGCTTAAAAGAGGAGCTGAACGCGAAGCCCAGAAACACACTTCGTAATCTTATAAAAACAGTCTAAAAAGAAGGGTGGATCCAGCGGAAATGGGGCACTGTTATCATACCCGTCCGATTGTTGAACGCCATTCCGGCTGCTGTACTTGGATGAGGAGCTGAACGCGAAGCCCAGGAACGCAGCGACGCCGACGAGGAGCAGAACGAGAATCAAAACGCCTCGGCGATGCCGAGGACCTCGCTTTCTGCTCTTCTTGTCATCCATTGTCATCAACTGCGAGCTGTGCGCTATGAGGTGTTAGGTATGTCCCCTTCTGTTGTGGGTATTGATCAAAGTGGTGATCGCCCCCGGAAAAACGTCTAAGTAGGTGAAGTGACGATGGTTGAATCAGCAACGGTTGTCGATCAGTGAATGGCAGATATCAGAGAATGATGGCAGTCTGCTGCGTCTATATATGAGAATGACTCGTTCAGATTACTATAAGACGCACGTACGCGTTCACGAGAACGAGCCGACTATGTCACAATGGATCCCAGGCTAAAGTTACACGGAAAGGCTGCAATGTCTCCGAAATTTGCGATGGCTTCAGAGGGCATGCCTGCAGTAGCAGAAACACCAGAAACCTCAGCCCACGATCAAGCTTACAGCATGCTACGGCTTAGGCCAATGGAAAAGAGCCCCTTACGAAATCAACATCACGTGGACAGACTACCATCAAGTAGACATTGGTGCCAGGTAATAAACTTGATACTGGCTTCTAATCTCAAGGGAGAGGAATCCATGGCTGAGAGACTATGAAGTTAGGTTGGTTGGTTGGTGAGAAAGGTTTGGTGCGAGAGGGTGGCGTTGGCACGGGACGTTATTGGAGAGGCTCGGGGAGTACCTCGCGGGTGTCGAAGCTGAACTGTCCCTTTACTGTACTTACCAGCTTCGGCTTTGTATGTCTAGGGGACATCGAGGCTCGGCTCGTTGGCAGGAGGGCTGATCGCTTCTGGTTTCGTCACACTGCCACATGGGATCTCCAAGTGGTTGTCGCCCGGAGTCTGGCGATGTGCGTGCCCATCTCACAGCATTCGTAACCGTGGGATTGCGCCACTCGTGATGTTGCGAAATTGTGTGTCGTCAACGATCACAGAGCCAATCACAGGTGAAGACGATATTCTTCGGAGTCGCAACACTGCCAAATCGCTGGCACCATGTCGGCAACTAACCTGCTGCGCAGAAAAATGTTCCACCTGAAGAAAAACACCGCTTCGGTAACTGCCTGAACCTAACCTCCTGAACCAGCACAACAGTAAAACCTCAACACGGTGTGTCTCGGTAACATATACAGCGAGTAGATCCACACGCATATACTTCTGATAGTTCAATGAGGTGCAGTAATATTTATTGTGAAATCCGCTAACAGGAAGTTCTTGACATCAATACTGCGTGATATGCTATTTTTTAACAGGGTATTGATGATTAAACTGACATTAACAGGGCATTGTTTTATTGCCATGAAATGAAATTCGAATGTGCTGTAGATTGAGAGTGTGCAGTCACTTCTGATGAAAGCGAGAAGATTTAGCAACCTAGGAACAAGAACGCATATAAATCTTACGAGCACCACGCGTAAGTTTGAAGAAACATAAGATGGTGAGAGAGGATAGCGACCGCTGGCTTGAGGGAGGAGATACAGCACAGCCAGAAGAAGCGGGAACTTATGGACTGGGGAGAAATGAGTCAGACAGGACTGGATCCCATCCGCAAGGCCTTTCGAGCAGCGGTGCATCAGGAATACTGGACAAGAAGAAGGATTCGAAAACGGAGTGAACAGAGAGACGATCAACACGAAGGCGTTGGGGATGAGAGTGAAAGGAAGGCAGCGGAACACCGCATGGCAGCAGCGGTGGTGATGATAGCGGAAGTGACGGGTAGGTGAGTATCTTTTGTGAGACCGAAACGGGAGAATTTGATCTGATTTTGTCACACGGAATCCCAGAGTACCGTCCTAGCAAATTCTCCTCGGTTTCCATTCCAACCGATATCCGTTTTTTAAATTAGTCAACCATGGACGCGTACAATGGTGACACGCTTTGGCGCCTCATATTTCCTTATTCCCGACGGTCCTATCGTCTTGTTCTCTTCAGCTCGGTCGGCAGGGATGTCCATCCACGATGACGTCATGCAGGCGCTTGTGCACCTGACCCTGACGTATGCAGGTGAGCACCTGCTGTCTCATGATGAGTTCTGCCAGATAGTTTGGTGGGTTTTCTTATGCATCCCTATGGAATCGCGAGCTCCTGCTGCTAGCTTTTGCTGCTAGAATGATTCATTCTTCTATTGTTCGTTTTACACTGCACACATACCCACCCAACGCCTTGCTTCTATTCGCCTGGCTGCAGAACAATTGGCTCGGGATGTGCAGTTGTTTTGCACGCCATGCCAAGAGGAAGAGAGTGGAACCTGATGACATCATTCTCTCAGGTACGACTTTGTTCACTCTTTTTGCATTGATATGAGATCTATGTTGAGGCAGCTTCCTTTAATCAGCATCACACCAGCATTCTCTTTCTACCTACGGTAGCTCTCTCTATCCACTCAGTCTCATACAACTACATATTACCCCATGGCAGCCCATCGGAATCAAGCAGTAATGAAGAAGCTCCGAGAATTTGCTGGCAGCTGTGGGGCAAGAGGGGAAGGTAGTTAAGAGCAAATTTCCAGCCAAACCAGATGGTTTGTGAAACGTTGTATGTGTGTAACGTTTTTTTTTTCGTTAAAAGTGTTTCTACGCGTCAAGGAGTGTCTCTTTCATAATGCTGCAAAGATGCTGCTTACTGATAGGGTTTTTTACTAGCATTTCAACACTTACCCATAGCGTCTGGAAACGAGTGGCTGACCCATGCAATGTGTTAAAACTGGGTCGGCCTGTGACGAGTGATTTATTGCGTCGTGATTGGGTAGATCTGACGTGGTCTGACCAATGTAAAAGTGTTGGTGATCCCAAGCAAATGACTGATGAGGCGCCACGCAGCCTTGTCCAGGAGCAACCACTCCAGAACCAGAGCCTTCGCTGCTGAATCATATACACTACTTTCCACGTCAACATCGTGTCTTGGATATTGCTCAGCCAAGACCCTCGTCATCTTGGGATTGTTCGACTTCCCTGCTTGCGAATGACGACTGTTCTTTGCGCGTCAGAGCGAAATTCGTGTCGTCGTCGCCTAGTCATCAATGAAAACTCGAGGCACCAAATGCAACGCACCGCAACCACGGATTCCGCCGATAGTCTCGTTCCGACGAACATCCCCTTACCCTTCTGAACCCGCACTCCCCCGCTTCCCCGCCATTGGCTTGTGCCGCCGATTCCACCCATTGGTTACCGTTCCAGCTCCTTTCCCCTCCGCCCGCATTCTACCGCCATGGCCATGGCGATGTTCAAAACGGCTTCATTCTTTCAGCGACGTAGTAGAAGGTCGGTCAGTTATTCACACAGCCAAACACGGATAGCCAAAGACATTCAAACCCATCCCAGTGACCCACCCGCGCACCCCATGCAATCCCTTGTGGTCTGCTGCACCCTTTCTCATATTCACGTCCCGTTGCCTGTGTTATCGGAAATTGTAGCTTCGTGCTGAACTTTTCCCAATTTCCCACTGCCATTCCAGCTTCACCCCCACCCCATCCCCTCCTTCCTTTCCTCCATTTCCTGGCCTGTACATAAACGCCCTTGCCTCCATTTCTCTCCACTCTCTCCACCTCTGCCTGCTCGCTCGTCCTGCTAGAGTATTCTTTATCTGAGCTCACAACTTGGGTAGGATAAAAGTACTCTGCACTATAAATCATTCCTTGTTGGAATTGGGTACTCATCCCTTGAATTAACTACTCAAGGAACACGTTTGTACCCGAGTTACCTTCTTGTTCAGTATAGTGATTCCGACATGGCGTCAGCACCGTGGCTGAGGGTCATTCTCACGCGAGACAAGAGCGTCGGCAAAGCATTCAGCTCTTCCGCCGTCGTAAGCGCCGTGCCTTGCGGCCTCCGCCTCTCGCCTCCACTCGAAGCGTCGCCTCCTTCGGGAAAAGACGTGATTGTTCGCGCGAGGTCGTTCGGCAATGAGAAGGAGGAGGACGATCAATGGAGGATGATGCTTGCATCCGGGAGAGATTAATGTCCATAACGGGGATACTCACGGAGCCGGTGCCGTTACGTATCCCGTCAAGCTGTATTTCTTTTTCCGAGGCTGCTTCACTCGCAACCGGCATGTGGCATTTGACTGCTCCGATTTTCCTCGATAGATTCGAAGACGCCACCAATCTCCAACAGATTACCAACCTACGGTAGTTTTGTACATCCGCTTACATCCGCCTGTATCGCGTACATCCGCCTTTCCTTGTACAGCAGGTTACGTTCCTGTATGCCGTTATGATGCATTCAGGCTTTGCCATTGCCTGGAGTTTTAGTTTTGCCCATTTGTGTTGCAGGCTTGCAGCGATTGCCTGTCTATGACGGCTGCAGGTTTGCAGCTTGCTGTGCTTGTGTTGCAAAAATGTAAAGTCTATAACTGTAATGCTATCTCGTGAGTGGTGTTCAATACATAGTGAACGAGCACCCTCACAACCAGCCAGCCAGCAAGTACACTACATATTTCAAGATGCCATCCCAGGTTTGCGCCAGCCTGGCGGTGTGTAGTACTAACCCCGTCAATCACGGGCGGGAACCCTCAATTTCGCCAGCGCGGCATTGCACACTCGCATTGGTACAGAATTGCTGTAATCACAACCAATTCTGACTAATCGCAGCTGCGCTGCAGGTAGTGTTGGCAAGATTCCTTGCCAACACATAGCTCGCCGCGCACTGCACCTTCGCTCTACACCATGACCATCCACCACACTCCGCCTTCAATGTTGCCAACGCACAGCTCGTAGCGCGCTGCCACTCTCACATCACCACATCCATCCACCCCACCCCACCTTCCCAGTTGCCACCGCAGGGCTCGCACCGCGCTGCTACTCTCACGTGACCACATCCATCCACCCCATTCACCCCACCTTCCAAGGATTCACGCCCAGGTGCCGTGCATGCAATGACCACCTAGGAGATGAGAGGTCCTACTACGAGGACCTCTCATCTTCCTCTTAGACACGATCTTGCCAGTCTCTCTCAGGGCCCGCTCCATTTGCCTCGCCTGAAACTAGTGTAGGAGCCCTTGTTTCAGGCTCCCTTTTCCTAGCTCGCTACACCTCTGCTCGGCAGGCTCAATGGCAGCCACAGAGGTTGTCGCGGATGGGCCCGAGGAGAGGATGAGCATGATGCAGCGGTCGCCCAGTTTCTGACCCACTCACCGGTCTAGACTTCATTAGGTCTGTCCTACCGAAGCACAATCCACCGCAAACGCCACCGTCGCAACCCAGCTCGAGCCGCCCACCTATTCCCAGAGACACCCCACCTCTGCACGAGGCCGTCACTGAACCAGCGACCACTCCCCAACAGGCGGTGCCCCATGAGGGCGTCCGTCGGTGCACCTTCCCGTCCCGCGCCACCTCCGAAGCTGCGGTATCGTCAGTCCACCCTTGGGTGGGCAACTCCGCCTCCTCCATCGACCGTTGTGACTCCTGCGAGCGACGATTCTCCCATGCAGGAAAGGTTAAAGCCCACACAGGACAGCACAAAGCCCATGCAGGGCAGCTCAAAGCCCAAATCTGACAATCCTGAGTTGAAATACGAGGAAGCTCATGAGAGATTTAGATCCAAGTGGTCCACCGATTACAGTTGGCTTGGTCTAACTAAGACCTCTTCTGGTGCCCCTTCTTCAAGTGCAGTATTTGCTTGGAGTTTGCGGGATTGAATGGCAAGTGTGGGTGGCGTATTGAGGGAGCTACAGACGTGCAAGCACAGTCTTTCAAGAAGCACGAAGGGATGGTGAAGCACCGATTTGCTCTGTAGCGCCAAGAGGACTTGCTGCAGAAGTATGGGCGACAGCTGCGCATCGACATTGTCAGGATATGTTGCTAGGGTTTAGCCTTAGGAGCCATGTTGGGAGGTAGAGTGTGAGGGAGTTGCAATGAAAGAGGACTTCACTATAGAGCTAAGGGTACAAATATGATAGGAAAGGGGGTAATCCACCAAACAGAATGTGATAACTACACTACCGTCATCGCCCGGATAGAAGACATATATGTCTTATCTTATACATTGGAAAAAATGCTTGCTGCTGTGTCTTATATTTGGGACGGTTTGGGGTGTCTTATAATTCTTATAAATAGGCAAAATATATAAGAACCATGTAACATTCGGAAAGACTGTAGAAAACCACCACGGGGCGGATTAATTGAAAACAGCCACATTTTGATGCGATTCATGCGCCGCCACCTCGTGCCACGTGATGAGAAGCATCAATGCTGCTTGTGCTGGCAGAATTCCGCCCTGCTGGCAGCATCTCATGATGCTTCTAGTGTCGTTTTGCTGCCAGCAGGGAACAGAGCCTTCTAGAACGCTGCCAGCAGCAGCACGATGGCAGCATCCTGCCATCCTGAGTTGTCCTCTACGAGCAAATTTGCCGTAGAGGGAGCGGCTCGTCTTCCAAGGGGGGGGGGGGCACTCTGGAATGGGGGGTAGTCGAGGTTGAGCTTCATTTTTTGCTCGTGAAACTCGAAAGTGGCTCAATCTTAGCTCTAAGCAGGCTCTATCATGCGTAGTAAGCATCCTGCAAGCGCGCCGTCTCCTCTCCTTAACGTCCATGTTACCAACTATGGGCGCATCAACTCGCCCGGTGACGACATCCGGGTAGACATGGCGAAAGAGAAGCGCCAACCGGCGGGGAGCTCCAACGCCGGCTCTGGCGCAAGTTGTGACGAGGAAGAGGGCAACGAAGACGCCGGCGACGAAGATCATGGCGACGAGGACGAAGAGGACTGGCCGGAAAACGGCCACGACGACAGCGCATCTGGTGACGAGGTGCCTGCCGGAGGCATCGACGATGACGACTGTGGATGCAGCCGATAGGCTCCGGCGACGATGTGGAGGAGTGGCACGCCGGCGACGATGACGATGACGGAGGCGCGGATGCGGTTGCTGATGCGGCGGCGGATGCGACGGTAGAAGCTCAGGCGGCGGGTGCAGATGCGGAGGCGGAAGCAGATGCGGATGCGGAGGCGGATGCAGATGCGGATGCGGAGGCGGATGAAGATGCGGATGCGGAGGCGGATGCAGATGCGGAGGCCGAAACAGGCGCAAATACGGCTGCTGTTGTGGTGGCGGAGGCGGGTGATGGCCGTGATGCTGTCTTCTTCGAAGGCGGCGAGAGGACGACGCGGACGACCCATGGCGCGTCTCGTCAGATGATGACGTGCCTCTGTTGAAGAGGCGGCTGCGTCACAGCCTAGGCGTGTCCCGGAAAAAAAACCCGGGTGCTGCTCTCGGACGACGACAGCCCGGATGAGGAGCGGCGACCCCGCGTCCCTGCTGCTGACAAGGGGAAGGCTAAGGTGGTTGAGGTTCCTGCTAAGGTCGCCCCTCGCGTCGGACAGAGCAAGAAGAAGTGGAAGGACGATGGCGACCCGGGTTCAAGCAAAGGCGCGAAGAGGCAGAAGAAGAAGGCTGTCAAGAACAAGGACGACATCTTGGTAAACGAGGCGCAGGGCAGTGACGACGACTACGCGGAGGCTGCAGGCCCCATGCCTTCATTCCCTGAGAAGGCGAAGCCAAAAGACCCCACCATCTGTAATGCTAACTCCCGCCCCCCTTCCCCACGCAGTCGCGGGATTAAACGGACCAGGCGGAGCTGGTCCGTGCGCAAAGGTGAAAAGGTGAAGTGGGCGCGTCGCTACGCGGAGCTCGGCTCCCTCAAGAAGACCTCGGCCGAGTCTTCGGCGAGCATCGCGTGCATCAGACGCTGGAGCGCGCAGGCTTGCAGCGGGCATGTACAAGGGCGCTGCGAATTCTCGCAAGCGCATGCATGGGGCAGGCCGCCACTCACACCACCCCGACATGGAGGCGGCGCTTTGTACCGATACATCTGCCTGCATCGCGCGAATGGGGTGGCGATCTCGGTCAAGGACACGCAGAAGTGGAGCCGGGAGTGGATGAAGAAGCACCACCCCGGGAAGAACTGGAACGCGAGCTCCCACTGGAGCCAACGTTTCCGCGACCGCTGGAATCTCGTCATGCGGGTGAAGACAAAGGTTGGCCAGCGGTTGTCGCCTGGTGAGTGGTTCTAGGCTGTGAATTCACTGCGCATTGTCAACTCCTTGTCCTTACCACGATATAAACTTGCATATCCCGACTCATCCCATCCTTGTGTGTGTTCTTTTGCCTTGGCAGAATGCGCAAAAGACTGCGAGTCTTTTTGGAAGTTCGTCAGGATCAACAGGGGCGCGCACAACATCGACCCAAGCCGCATCATCAATGCGGATCAAACGCCCCTCTTCGTTGAAATGCCGGCCGAGAGGACCCTTGACCACCGTGGTGCGCGCTCGGTCCCGATCCGCACGGCCGGCCTACGAGAAGACGCGGCAGACAGTGATGCTCGTGTGCACGGCATCGGAGGAGAAGCTGCGGCCGTGGGTTTGGTTCAAAATGAAGAACGTGCCGAGGTGTGACCCCCGCTGGTGAGCTAAACGAATTTGGGTTTAGGGAGACCACCGTGGCCCTGTTTGGCTCACTCCCCTATCTCCCTATGTGCCTGGCAGGAGTGGTGGTCCAAGCACAGGACAACGGTTGGATGGACGAGACCGCTGTGCAGACTTGGCTGACGAAGGAGGTGCTGCCTCATCTCAACCCCCAGCGGGGCCAGTGCGCACGGCGTGCGATGCTGGTTCTGGATTCGTACCGCGGCCACATCACCCAGGGCATGCTTCGGCGCTATCGCACGCACAGCATCACTCCGGCTGTAATCCCTGCAGGTTGCACCAGTCAAATTCAACCACTTGACGTTTCCATCAACCGGTGTTTCAAGGCCGGGGTGCGAGCTCGCTACGCTAGGTGGTTCATGCGTGAAGGCCTTTACCTGAAGACGAAGAACGGTGAGTCCACTGTCGGTGATCAGTAAATGCCTGCCAGTGTAGCTCTTGATGTACGGTATCTGACGGCACGTTTGCTCTGAATGTGACCCACCCGCAGGGAACCTGAGGAGACCCCCGCATCCCGTGGTGCTGCAGTGGATAGCGGAGGCGTGGGATCAAGTCCTAGGCAGGTGATCATTGACGCGTTCCGTCACTGCGGCATCTCAAGCAAGCTGGATGGGACCGGAGAACCATCTGGTGATGTCCCACCTGCGCGCCAGGAGCACCACCGATGTCACCGAAGACATGTGCCTCGGGGGCACCACGGGCGACAACACGCGCCTGCTTGGGAACGCTCCCGAGGAGGAGGAGGAGGAGGAGATGCAGGCGGAGGGCGTGGAAAGAGGTGGCCGTGGCCACCGGCCTGGAGGTGCTGTACCAGGAGACCCCTCACTACGGGGGAGCGGCGGCCGAGGCTGACCGCATGATCGAGCCCGTGCAGACAGCCAGACACGCCTGGCGAGTGCCAGACTTGGGGATGCAGGAGGAGCCACCATCTACTAGTGCAGATGAGGGCGTAACAGAGGGGGGCTAGGTAGAAATAGTAAGATTGGATAAATGCATGCATGTACCCCCCCACCCCTGAATGCAAGAACCGATCATAAGACACCCACCCCCTTTATAAGGAAACCCTAAACCCTAGCACTGTTTAGTAGGCACTGTCTTAAGTCGTACACGCTTGTAGGTGGCTTATAATCTGGAAGCACCCAACTATAAGAAACACCCGTATTAAAGACACCCCCTGTCTTCAATTCGACACTGTCTTCTATCGGGCGATGACGGTACTGCTATATCTACATGCAGTTACAATAATATAACTCTGACATCCCCCCTTAACTGCATGCAGGAATAGCAAAGCATAAATCACAACCCGCAAGTGTACTGAAAGCATTAGAAGCAGCACAGAGCAATGACAACCACAGCAGTGCAGCAGTGGGCAGAAACAACAGCAGAAACCCCTTAGCCAATACAGAAACGAAAGAAAGAAAGGTGCATGTGTGCGCGAGGTCGCCTGGAGAGCGGCGTGCGGCGGCAACAAGCGGCGGCACAGCAGGCTCAACGGCAGCACCTGCCGCTCAACAGCAGCAAACGAAAGAGACGAATTAAGTGGCAACAGGGGCTGCAGCTGGAGATGCCACAGGAGCAGGGGTGGGTGGCAGTTGCAAATGCAGGGCTGCTGCTTCTGCCACTCTCTCTTCATACCCTCCTTTATCCCCCCTTACCCTCTCTCTCCCCCCCCCTCCCTCAGCAACAATTGCTGCAGGGGAGAGAGAGAGGAAGAGGGAAGGGAGGGAGGAGCGGCAGGCTCCTCACACCCGCCCCCTCCCCCCCAACCCCCCCCCCACGACGGAAGGGAAGGGCGGAATCACCCACTGCCGGCGCTGGCGGTCGCGTTGGCGCTAGCGCTGGCGGCCGTCGCAGCTGCTGGCGGGTGGCGCTGGCGGTCGCGCAGGCGCTGGCGCTCGCGGCTGGCTGCAGCGTTGGCGCTCGCGGCTGGCCGTGGCGCTGGCGTCCTCGCTGGCGAAGGCGGATCGCGGGGCGACGGGGGGAGCGTGACGGACGGAGAAAAGGGCGCACGGGCGCGACGCGAAACGAAGGGCCTACAGAAAGCGAAAAACGGGACCCGCGGGGTTCGTCCACGGGGCGATTCGGGGGACCCGCGGGGCGCATTACGGGCGGCACGACGGGTGGGCCCATGATCATTAAAACAAAATAGGTCCTCAGGAGAAATTCCTGCTCTGTACCATGTCAGGATATGTTGCTAGGGTTTAGCCTTAGGAGCCATGTTGGGAGGTAGAGTGTGAGGGAGTTGGCAATGAAAGAGGACTTCACTATAGAGCTAAGGGTACAAATATGATAGGAAAGGGGGTAATCCACCAAACAGAATGTGATAACTACACTACTGCTATATCTACATGCAGTTACAATAATATAACTCTGACAGACATGCACTCGAAAGCGCATGACATGGAGTTGCTGTAGGTGTCGTCGCTCGTGGACTCGGTGTACTTCATGGGGAAGTGCAACGAGCCCATGGACTCGTGGATCCGGCTGGTGCGCTACATGGCGAAGAATAAGGTGCTCGGATTTCCCCAGCAGGGCTACGGCACATACTATAATACGAAAGTAATGTCTCATGTATCCCCCGGTGTTACAACATTTTTTTGTCGATGGCCTTCGCTAACGACTATGTTTCCTTGTGTAGGTACGGCTTTGGAGAGCTCACTCAAGCAATTGCGACATGGCTCCAAACAACGCAACCGGAGCACCTTCTCTTGAGCCCTTTCATCGGGATAACACTGGACGAGAGCACCGATCGTCGGCACGGCAAAACACATGATTCTGATTGCCACATTTCTCCTTGATGGCTAAGTTGTCGCCGAGTTCGTCGCGCATTTGACGGTTGAGAGGGCTGACGCTACATCTTTGTGCAGTTTGTTGCTTTCCCACCTCAGGGCTGTCGGCGTTGACCTCCGGCGTATCTCGGGAGTGAGCACGGATGGTGCGTCTGTGATTGTGGGGAGTCAAAATGGTGTGGTTGCTCGTTGCGATAGCTCGTCCCGAACATGGTCTCGTTTCACTGCATCGCTCACGGGGTTGCGTTTGTGTTTTAATGCAGGTGTAAACGCCACTGAAGAACTTTATTAATCTTTAACATTTGTGGTTTTGTTTCGCAGGGAGGCCTTGGCTACCAAAGCCTGTAGCGGAGGCAATACCAACCTTCAACATGGTTGACGACGTGATCCGCGCCGTCGCAGAGTACCTTGGGCGATCGGGGCCGTGGCATCAGCGCTTCATGGAGCTCCAGAAGGTGTTCACGTCCACCAACCTCGAGGTCCAAGGCATACACGACGTGCGGTGGCTGTCCAGAGGAGTTGCAGTCGCCCCGCTTCGTCCAAGTCCTACCTGCCATCATGGTGATGTTGTCGGAGTGGGAAGGACCAGACCATGTACGAACTCGTCATGTCGTACAGTTCCAGTTCCTCATCAAGTTCCTCGTGGATATGCTGGAGCAGCTCAACGCTCCTCTCCTCAGTTTTCCAGAAGAAGCGGGAGGTAAGTGACTTTCAGGGTGTTGCTTGTGGTGGTTTTAGTACAAAACCCTTTGTACTAATTTTCGTTGAATGTTTGTGATGCAACTCGACTACGCGCTGGTGCACGCGCAGATTGTGCGCGCACCACATCGACCTTGGAGGCCCAGTACATTGATTGTGGCGACGACTTCGGGGGGGGGGGGGGGGGGGGGGGGGCGACCGAGAGGCTCTACCGCTTCATTCAGAAGCACGATCTGAGTGGGTCACAAAAAAATGGTGGTGGGAGGAGCATCGGTCCGACGGCAGTATGAACCGCTTCAAGGTTAAAACTTCACGAGCTCACCAACTTGAGCTATCGTGGGCCAGGTCGCCTGCGTTGCGCTCTGCACCGACATGGCCGCGCTCGTCGTCGAGAACCTCCAGTCCAAGCTCGGCGACCTTGACTCTCTTTCCGGAGTGAGGCTGTTTATTCCGGAGATGTGGCTGTTTATTCCGGAGATGTGGCAAGCGCACTGGGACCGGGATGCACGGCAGGCACAATGC